GGGAGGGGGAGAGAGAGAGACAGAGAAAGAAAGGAGAGGAATTAGTTTATATAACAGGAGAAATAATACCATGATTTATAGGACGTAAGAAACTATAGCCTAAAGTAGCAAACAAAATAGTGTAGGGTTACCCAAGGGTAATATAGGGCACCAAGGAAGGGTTACACAACCCACCTGGAAGGAATAAGTTAAGATTTCCTGGAGAATGTCATGATTAGGTTTAGACCAAAGGGCTAGGTCTGAATCTACCAGATTCCATACCTGGGTGCACATTAGATTCTCTCGGAAACTTTTAAGATTTGTGGATGCCTGGGCTATTTCAGTCATTTCAGTTTATTAGTTCTGGAGTGGGACCCAGGAATCTATATGCTTTAAAAGCTCTCCAAGGATTCTCATGACAGGGTAGAAAAATCAGTCAAATACCCTTAGTCAATTGAGGAAGAATGCGGAAAAAATCCGTAAATAAATCAAGGTCCATTTTAGAAACTGAAAAATATTTATTCCACCTGGTGCAATACATTTAGGGATGGGTGAGTGAATAGATGTCATGTAGCAAAATTTCTAAACTCTATGTCCTTTCTGTTGTGTCCTATGGACCTCACAATGGTTCATTTCGAATTTGTGGCAGTGAAACTATGACACAGAGATGATATGTCTCCAGGTCTTCCTGCATTTATTAGCTTGGAGCATCCAGGGAGAATCTGGGCTGCTTAATTTGTGGAATGTTGATATCTTGTTGGGTAATCATGACTGCTTTAATTTCCCCAAACTCTGTGCTCTGTTGTATCTGTGCTGTCATACTTGCGATTTCTTTTCCCCTGCTCTTCAGTATGGAATTTAATTCATCCTTCATGACTAATCTCAATAGATTACATAATCAATAGTTTAGCATCTGTAGGCCACACAGACTCCCTCTACCATAGCTATGCAACTCTTTTTAGTACAAAGATAGCTATGTATTATAAGTGAATGGGTGTGGTCAAGTTATAAGAAACACCTCATTTATGAATGCTGAAATTTAAGTTTCAAATAGTTTTGATGTCTCACAAAATAATTTTCTTTTGACTTTTCAACCATCTGAAATGTAAAAGTAATTTTATCTAGTGTTCCATATAAAAACAGTAAAAAGGACTTAACCTGTATGTACAATTTTTCTGAGCCACCATGCTCAGCCACTGTTACAAATACTTAAACTGTTTTGGCAAAGACTTAGAGATAAATCATTTTATTTTTCTCATTTTAGAGATGTGGGAGCTGAGATGCAGAGCAGTGAAGTAATATACCCAAACTCCACAGGTGCTAAGTGGCAGGGTTAGAATTCAGAAGCAGCCTGACTTTTTCCAACACTATGTAATGTTGCTGTTTACTTCTTGTCATGAGAGTGTGTGAAGAAACTTAGAGGAGAAAGTAGAGGAAAAAGTATCAGAGTACTATAAAATGTTGGTCAGTAATTCACGTAGATGCTGAAGGCAACAGGAAGGAAAGAATTAGAGACTTGGGATCAAACTCATGATGAGAATACAATGGAAAGGACACATTGGGGCCTCAACAACTTTTGTTTCGTGACTAGAAAATCCTGTGAACTCCAGAGGTAGTTTCCTATACATTTTTATGCATTTCACATGCAACTAACATTCAGATTTCATATTCTGTGATATGTGTGTTTGTGTGTTGTATATACCTCTCCTCTCAAGTTTGAGAAAACATGCAAGTATAGGTAAAAAATTAAATGATTAAAACCAAGTGTTCAAGGTGCTATGCAGAGGTTAGCACACCTAACCCAGCTTTAGGAAGCAGGGGATGTCTTCAGGAGGAGGTAACATATCAGTCCTACTTGTTTTTCAAGAGAGGTAAAGTAAGTGTTTCAGATAGGAGCCATACAGTTTATAAAGGCCCCAAGTCAGACAAAGGACAGTAGGTTTCTGGAAAGCCTGAATTCAGTGTGGTAGAGCACTGAGTGAGAAAGGAATTAGTGGATAAGGAGAGATAAGAACCACCATGCATTGGTGGTTAAACTGGGAGAATAAGTGAGTGTGTCCAGATCATCAAGATTTTACATGTAAGGAATGTGGAATGTGAACAACATCTGGAAGTCAGTGGGGTTCTCTGAAGGAATTCAAGCAGCATAGCAACTTGAAACATGGATTTTTGGAAGCTCAGGAAAGCTATAGTATGCAGGTTGATGGAAAAAGACATGTAAGTCAGCTGAATGGTGTTAGTCAGCTTTCCATTGCTATGACAAAATCCTAAGAAAATCAGTTTAGAAGCAGGAAACATTCATTTTGGTTGATGGTTTCAGTTTATGATCTGTTGCCTCCATTTTTTTAGGTCCCTGATGAATCAGCTTATCAAGGCAGGAAGCGAGTTGTGTAGCAAAGCTGCTCATTTTACAGAAGCTGGTAGCAAAGAGAGAGGAAGGAGCTGGGATCAGGGGTACCCCTCCTGTCATCTAACTTACTCCGCTAATCCCCATCTCTTAAAGGTGCCACCAACTCTCAGTGGCACCACAGACTGGGGATCCAGTCTTCAACACATGGATCTTTAGACAATATTCAAGTCCAAACTATACAAAATAGCTTTTGAAGTAGGGTATTGGACTTCAGTGTCCTAGTCTACCATTTAAATAAGCTTATAGGTCTGCAATAAAATCAGAAAAAATAAATTATTGTACAAAATATTGTAATGAATTAGAATATGTGAAATGCTTAAACATAATCTGCAATACCAATTCAAAAGAGAAAAAATTAAAATATTAAGGGCATTAAAGAATTGCTTTGAGAGCCGGGGATTTAGCTCAGTGGCACAGCACCTGCCTTGCAAGTACAAGGTCCTGAGTTTGATCCCTGGTATCCACCCCCCGCCCACAAAAAAAAAATTGCTTTGAATATTGGAATTTTTTTATTCATTAAGTTTATTGGTACATTTTAGATATACAATATGATGACATTCATCATTGGGAATTTGTACTTTTACATGGTATATCTTGGTTCTTATTTTGATAAATTATTGCTTTTAATATTTAAATAGAGCTAACAAAATATGAAGAATAGCTTTCCTATATATGTGCATGAAACATAAATCCTTCTGTTTCTGGGACAAAAATACCTTCCTTATACCTGCAACTTAAAGGAGGAAAGTTTTACTTTGACTTACAGTTTCAGTCAATTCAATCCATGGTTGGCTGGCTCCAGGGCAGAAACAGCATAGCAGAAGGGCATAGTAAAGGAAAGTTGTTCAGTGCATCAGAGGCCAGAAGCAGAGGGTGAAGAGGAGCCAGGGACAAGAACATACCCTTCCAAGTGCCTCACCACCCCACATATTCACCCTCTTCTTCTGACTAGGCCTCGTCTCTGAATAGCACAGTTAGCTACTGAACTCATCAATGGGAGAATACACTGATGAATATAGCTTCCCCACCGTCCAATCACCTTATAAACTCATGAGACTTTTGGAGGTAATTTTAAAGCTAACTTATTACAGGAAAGTTTATTTAACTGCTGTATTATGAGGGTTATAAATCAAGTAACTGAATTCCAAATGGCTTCCTTTATTTAGTTTGCTTGAAAAAACCCTTTAATTTTGATTAACTAAATTTTACTTTTTTGATTTGATTTATATGACTTTTTAGAAAAAAAGAAAACAAAGCCATTTAAGAAAAAGAAAATGAAGCCATTATTATATGTGCCTATTTTTTACTGTCTTTTTGAGGAGTGAATTTTGATTTCCTCTCATGTGTCATTACAAAGAACTTTGTCAAACTTTAAAAAAGAGACCCCTTATCTTGAATCTTGTACAAAGTGTGTATTTTTTAAAA